CCCCCCCCCCCCCCCCCCCCCAGGGTCTGGAGATTATCTTCCGCGTGGGCCTGGCCATCCTGCAGTACAACCAGACTGACCTCATTCAGCTCGACATGGAGGGAATGTCTCAGGTAAGCAGCTGTGTGCCACTTTCTGCAGCGAAAAACTTCACRTACAGATTCAGCCACGAGACAAAATGCCCCACATCCAGTTCCCCCCACCCCTCTGCACGCAGACTTCCTGAACATCAAAGATCTAATCTGATTTCTAGAATACGACCTGACACATTTGAACCAGTGCTGCAGGCTGTGTTGTTAATTTTTTTACAAAATGAAGCACTTCTAGTTTTGTTGAACTTTTTAAGGTTGTGTAGTTTGTTGTTTAAAATGTTCTTTGGTCTAAATCAGACGTTGATCAGTTTAATGCGTCCATGTGGGTCATGTGGGTCTTCCAGCATTTCCAAAAGGTGATCCCCCACCAGTTTGACAGCTGCCCAGACAAGCTGATCCTCAGAGCCTATCAGGTCAAATACAACCCCAAGAAGATGAAGAAGTAAGAATTCTCATTACTTTGCCAACAGTTTTTGGGATTGAAGGCTAAAAGGGAAAATTGTGTAAAAATGTTCTTTTACTTGGTCCTTTTTTAATCTAGACTTGAGAAGGAATACACCACGATCAAAAACAAAGAAATGGAGGAACAAATTGAGATTAAGGTGTGTGTTTCATGCTTTTTGTGGTGTTATGGTTTAAAACCTTTTTGTTTAATAAATGCCAGGTTCTGATTTGCTTTCTCCGTTCAGAGGTTACGCACAGAAAACAGGCTGCTAAAGCAGAGGATTGAAACTCTGGAAAAGGTAAGACATAATATTTTTATCTTCAGAATGTGCATTATCAGGATCACATCTTTTTTAGCAGACTATAACTCTTCCAGAAGCAGAGAATGTAGGATTTATCAGCCGATAAATTCACTATAAATTAAAAACATCAAAATCTACTTTGTCTCTTTTTTCTCCTAAATGAACGGTGAAGACTAACCCACAGGACATGAGTAGTATCCTGAATGGTATCTCTTAAAAAATATAGTAAAATAAAAAAGATAAAGCAATAAGTATAGAATTGTTTTAATAATTTGACCCAGAATTCATGCAAAATAAAAAGAACAGAGAACTGAGGAACATCTTCTGATGAACTTTTCAACCAGCTGAGTGAGGAAATGAGACTTGACATCAGGGAGATTAAATAAATATACCAATGAATTGCCACAATATTTTTTTATTTAGTTATTTATTTATAAGGTTTATTCGTTTCATAAAAAAAATAAAAAAAAATTATATACAACAAAATTACAAATCGCTTTTACAATATCTTTTAAAGTGTCACTTATATGATACATTTGCTTGCCGTACATGTCATCAGATCACTGCACCTGTTCAAAACGTTTGCACTGAACCGTCACGATAAATGTATCACAAATCGCTGTACATCTGTGAGTTGTGAGCGTTATTTGGTGTTGGTTTTCTGACGGCGGTGTGCGTGTGTGTGTGTGTGTGTGTGTGTGTGTGTGTGTGTGTGTGTGTTAAGTTCTTTTTTTTCTTCTCCCTGAGCATTCTGCTGGTAAAGACTTCATGTTTAAATCTCGTCTGTGAAATGTTTTTCCTCTGAATGACCTCTCCTCTTTCTCACAAACATTTCATCACTTCTCTACATTTGTTTCCTCAACCTGTCTCTTCTCTTTTATTACCCTTAAATGTCCTCTCGGGTCTTCTCCTGGTTTGTCCTCTCTGGTTTCTCTTATTTTTTCACTCTTTTTCACTTTTTTCATCCTCCTTTCCCCCCCTCTTTGGTGGTGCTGTAGGAGAGTGCCGCTCTGGCAGACAGACTGATACAGGTAGAGTACTGAGAAGCACTTTCTCACAGATGTTGGTAACCTCTGTCCTACTCACGCCTCGCTGTCCACAGACCTCACTAAGCTGCATGAATGAGTTTTATGTTCGTAACTTTTCAGTCCACAAGTCTTACCCCTCAATGCATGTAGTGTTAGGGATTATTATTATTATTGACAGATTTTTACAATCCCTGCATGTGGCATGGTCATTTTTTTATTTTAGATACTTTCAGTTTATCAAAACATTCAGTAAATTTTGAAGCTTTTTGACAAAGCCTACAGGAACCAATTTTGTGTTCTTGAGATATTTCTGCTGCAAACAAAGAAAGGTTTAACATTGCTTAAAGGGATTATTTTGCTAACAAACAAGCTTGACTTCAACAGTTGATGCTAAAGTTAAAACAAAGGTCTTGTGCAACGATCAGCACTAGTGTTGTGAATAATTCTCAGCTACTACCACAACAAATTGTAGCTCAACACCTRTAAAGTTGCCCGACTTAAAGCCATGTTTGTGTTTAAGGTGAATTGGCTGCAATAACCATCTTAAACTGGATTGGCTCCAAAGATCGATCAGCTGTAGATGTGATTATTTTACATTACTGAATGGCGATCAGCGACTGTTTTTTTTATGTTTACTTCTTTACAGACAGTGTGCATGGCAGTAATGTAAATTGTCTCTGATTCAACATTTTAAGACATTTCTTTAAGTCAAACAAATTGATAACATGACATTTTAACTTTATACAGAAATAAAATAATACACAAGCTTTAAATTCCTGTCAACGTCAAAAAGACAAGGCATAGACTGAAGAAAAGTGTAGGTAGAAGCCCAAGCTTTTTATACCTTCACTTTTTTTTCATACATTATCTTTTAACATTTAATAATTATAGAGTTTTAAGTCCATCCACTGGTTCACCAGGCTAAAGAAACAGACAATATGACTCTGCCCAAAGATGTTAGAATTAAAGTGTAAAAAGAACTGAAGCTAAGTTATGTATTTTGCTTGTTTGATTTGTGCAACCCTTTTTTGTTTGTTTGTTTGTTTGTTTTAATTATTTTAACTGAAGTTTAGCCTCCTGGCTCCACAGCTTCATGCCTAAACTGTAAATTTGAGTGGTCTGTCTGCAAAATAAAAAAAAAACTTCAAACCTTTTTTTAAATGTTCCTTTTAAAACAAAGCTTCCCTGTGTYCCCCACTTACTGTATGTGTGCACCCCACACTTTTGCATATTATTTGAGTTCTTACAGTTGATTCCAATGGAGCGATCTCAACAATCGGTGCTGTTCCGACTCATTGATGCAGGGTCAGGTGACGAGAGCACAAGAAGCAGAGGAGAACTATGTGATCAAGCGCGAGCTGGCAGTGGTGAGGCAGCAGTTCAGCGCAGCCAGCGAGAGCCTGGAGAAGGCCCAGGACACCATCCGAGAGCTGCAGCAGGAGAGGGTAAATCAGTCAGAAAATGTACCGATGGTTGCATAGTTCTACAATCACATCTGTCTTCACAAAGATACTAATACTAAACTGATTTATGTTACAAAATGAATGTTTATTAGTAGTACTTTCACACAATGTGTCATAATATAAAAATAATAATGTAGGGTTGTGTGGAAAAGTAGTATTAATACTAAATTATTAATATCTTACCTKATGTAGAKAGCTTTTTGAAACTAAAGGCCCCCACATACTCGGGTCAGACAGGTCCAGTTTTTTACATCTGCGTCTGCGGTGTCCCACAAACTGCCCGGYGAGTTCACGTCAAACTGTTTTGGATGCAACACCAAGCAGATAAAGTTGAGAATCTGTGTCAACTTGTGGATGAAATGGAGTCAAATTTTGAAGAGTGTCTCACAGAAGAGATTAGAAAACATTTAAACTTTATGACACATCAATGAGGGAATATAAGGACTTTCAGAGAGCAAAAAAATTGTGGGAGGATAGCTCAGACCGGTAAGTTCTTTTCGTTTGTTGTTTTAAAGCTAAAATGCAAACTGTCTCCTCCTCCTTGTTTGTTGACGCCATGATTGAAATTGTGAGAAATTAAGGAATTTGTCAGGCAATCAGTACGCTCGCGTGTGAAGTCTCAACTGTTTGCGGACAATATGCTCACAGACACACAAGTACGGTATGTAAGAACCTGAATTCTAAGTAAATTGATCTAGTCTGTTCTGGGCTCAGATCGAAGTAGATTTCTTCTATCTTAAACCAACTTGAATCTTAAATATTTAGTGATTTCAGTGAACGCTGTTTTATAAACAGAACAGCACTCGGGTTGCACCAGAAGTGCAACAGCTAGCTGCTTCTGCTGCTSTAATACTAAACTGAGAGTCATGTAAAGGTTCCAGAAGCTCATAAACCTGAGAAAAGGCTGCTTTTATTTTGCCATCTATTCATCCATCCAAACGCCTAGGCAAAAATTGGACTTAAAACAACCTACAAAGATTTGAGCAATGATACAAAGTGAGCCATGGTGGGTTTAATGTGGGCAGTGAAATAATGTGCACAGCCTAGACCACAGTTTTGTGACTAACACTCATGAAAATAGGTCGTTTTTTTTTTGTTTTTTTTTTTTTTTTTGTTTAACTGGCACAACAATCCGTGGTCATACAGCTCGCTAGTCAGTTCCAAAAACCCAGAATTCAGTGAGACGCTAACAGGAAGTTTGCAGATTTTCATGAAATTTCTTTCAAATTTTAAACATGTGATTTGTTGTTTAACAGCTGCTGTAGCTGGATGGTTAAACCCACTGGGTAGAAAACAGTGTTTTTGATCATTACCAACTTTTAGTCACATTAGTTTGAGCGTGACCCGATTTGTCTTTACAGCTGTCACCAAACAACCACAAACTTTTAGTGTAAATTTAGCAGATGTGCGCGAACATTCAGCTACGTTGATTGAATATTTACTTATAAAGAAACATAGACACACATCGCCAGTGATTTCACTCTAAATGATGTCATTATGACTGCAGTGTTTTATTCCAGCTCAGATTGCTGGTACCCTTCGCCCCACAGGGTTCTCACACCTCCACACACCCTCAGCCATCTTTAATAACAAAAACTGAAAAGCCCAAAATGACAAACCGAGAACTTTTTACGCACGCTATGTACTTGCCCAATTTGATGCTTTTATAATTTACCCCGTAGGAAAGTATTTTTCCACTCTGCTCTGTCTCTCTGCTGCTTTCGTTCTCTCAAATTTGTWGTTTCACCTTGATGTGKTGACATCAAAATCTGTCGCGGCTTTCTATTTTCTGACACAGCTCTGACTCAAGGGGGGCAAAAGTACACATCGATTTGAGTTTATGTTGATTAGATACTACTTTTACACTCTGCTTCAAAAGATAACCATTTTTTTTACTTGGGACTGTTATGAGTCGTGACAGCTGACTGGACACGATCGTTCTAAAACAACTGCTTGCTTAGCTGTAGCCATGATTTTAAATTTAACATGCTACACAACTACTGCATTTATTAGCAGCTATTTTTGTTCTTCTAAGAAAAAAACAGTGGCYTAAGAGGTGCAATAGATGCTTCTTCTTTTTTTTTCTCAGGAGAAAAATAAAAAGACAGAGATGTGGCAGAATTCACACTCAAACGCTGTGGTAAACTTGTTGAACTGCACCACTGGTCCTCACACCAGCAGTTAGTTTTGGTTTTGCTTTATCATGCAGAACTAAAAGTCCAGCAGTACGACATTTAAATAAAGCCGATCAATAAAATGAAATATGTACGCGTTTGTAACTGGTTGGTGTTTGTTTTCAGTACACGGAGCAGTTTGTGACCAACCTGCAGACCCAGCTGGAACAGTCCCGGCTGCGTGAGGCCGAACTGCTTGGAGCCATGAAGGAAATGCAAGACAAGGTGCTCGACCTGGAAAAGGTACACAACGTAACTATTTTTAACAGTTTTTTGTGTAACATTGAGGCCAGTCAATAACTGTCCAGCTCATAAAGCCCCAGAGATTCATTGTCATGCCTGATTGCCCTGTTAATGCTGCTAAACTGAACATCCAGAGAAGCAGCTGCCTGCCAGATGAGAACAATGTGGCTGCGCTGCAGGAGGAGGTGAAGCAGATGAAGCTGCGGGAGCTCGAGACGCTGCGTTCCTTCAGGGAGATGCAGGACAGCGTTACCGAGCTCAACCAGCGCTGGCAGGTAAAACACGCAAACCGGACGTGTCCCCCATTTGTGTTTCAGTAGTGTGACAGCAGGAGAGGTCAAAAGCATTTGTTTTGTCTCTGCAGCATCACATGTCCCGGGGCAGCGGCACAGGCAACGGAGGAGGCCACTGGAAGGAATCCCCGAAGAAGAACGCTCTGAACGAGCTGCAGGACAAACTGATGACGGTCAGGCTGAGGGAGGCCCAGGCCCAGGCGGAGCTGCGGGAGGTCAAACTCAAAGCTGTGCAGCTGGAGAGCCAGGTTGGACCTCTACAATCCTCTGGACATTGATGCTATTCCAGATAAACCAGACATGTTGTTTATAATACAGCAAACAACATTCACCAATTTACCAAAGCTCCTAACCTTTCTGATGGTTTTTCTTTAGCTGCTGTTTTAAATTAGATCTTTAGGCCTTTTCTTGATCAGTCTCTCACAAAGACAATTTGTTTCTATTTTTTGACTGTATCCAAAGACACCAAGATAACACAATTTGACAGATGGAAAACTATTTCTTTGCAAAAAATAAATTCTAATAGTTGTCTGAAAACTTGGCACACAAAGCCTAAAGGATGACACACTTCAGGTCTTTGGAAAAGTGAGCATTTGGGAAAAAAAACGTTTGTGCTTGTCTATCTTCTTACCGTATCTCCGTTTAACATTTTAGAACCAAATCCACAGCAAACTAATTGGTCGTCACGAGCAGGAACGCTCCGCCCTGCAGGACCGGATCCAGATGTTGGCCAATCAGAACAAAGCTGTGCAGGCCCAGCTCAACGAGATGAAAAGGAAGCAGGCAGAGTCCGACTGCAAGGTGTGGACTGATTAATTTAAATTATAACTGCATCTCCACCACCTTTCAGTGAAATCCTAAATGTGATGTTGTTCATTGTTTAACCCTTTGTTGTCTTTTTGTTTCTCCTTCATTCCCCACAATGCATGCAGAGTAAAGAGGAGGTGATGGCGGTGCGACTGAGGGAAGCACACCATGGCTCTTATGGCAGAACTCAGGCAGAAGATAGCTGAACTCGAGATACAGGTGTGTTTGTGTGGGTGTGGGTGTGGGTGTGGGTGTGGGTGTGTGGGTACGTTTTTGCCACATCATGGGAACCATTTTCCAGAAAAAGGCAAGTAGGTATCTCTGCAGACAAAGTAGGCCAAAGGAAGGCATTTTTCAAGGGACACACCTGATTGGATGATCATTGCTTAGGCATTTCTTCATATAGTTGGCTTACCTTTGCAGGATCGGACTTTCATTTATTTATTTAGTTAGTTTCATGAACTTGCTGTTGTTACCGAGGCCATCAGAAGACTTGGGAATAATGTTAGACTGACGTTATTATATGTTTAAATGAAGACGTCGCTGGCGTCGGACTTCACGTCTTCTTTTAAGAACTTCGGGTTACGTTTCAAAATAAGAGCTGACTTTTTTTTCTTGAGATATTTAAAAATAGGAAGAAGTACATGTTTGTTTTTAATGACACAATATGATTTCATTTTTTAAATAAAATCGGTTTTGACTGCGTAAGTGAAAGCAGTTAAAGTCAAAAGTRAAAGAAAAACGAAAGAGAAGAACTAAAAGAAAAAATACAACTAGCCTATCAGTGTTTGTGCTTGAGAAATGCCTACTTTGAGTCTTCAGAGAACCCCTTCTCGAAAAAGCCAGCTTCATGGGCTTCACGGAGATATAAAAACCAAACGTGTGTGTGTGTGTGTGTGTGTGTGTCTTTGTTTGTAAGTGCATGCAGACAATATTTATACCTAAGACTCAGGTAATGTTTTACCAACTTTATCACATGTGTTTTTAGAAGGAGGAAGGGCTGATCCAGGGTCAGCTGAACCACTCGGACTCCAGACARTACATCAGCCAGCTCCGGGACCAGATCGCAGAGCTCAAAAACGAGGTTGGACCCTCCTCTTGTCTGACAAACACATATTCAGTCCAAAACCTTTCTACAGGCAAAATTCAAAAATTACGTCGCTTAAAGATTTTCCAGATAAAAGCTGCTCAACAGACCTTTGTGTTTTAGGTATTTTTAGAGTTTAAAACTATTTTCAAACTACTTTAGATTGTTTCTACTGATATCTTTCTATCTTCTGATGAAAAAGTGAAAGGATAAAAGTAAAAACTTAACCACAGCATCTGTTGCACATTTAATTTTTAGAAATTTATGTCCTCATTGTGTGATCTTCAGAAATAATCCACACACTTCAGACATTTTAAACAATAGAAATAAGCAAAATACAAACAGATTAACATCAGAGAATCCTTCTGTATGACTGATGTGAATTTTGCAAAGGTTTTGTAAAGTTTTATGTTATTTATGACATTTGAATGTGGGGTTTGAAATTCGGGACCTGAGTTTTGACAGAGGTCAGTCGATACAAACAACACAACTTTCCTCCAAGAAATGTTTGTATTTGTACATCAACAAACCAACAAAGATGAATTTGTTTCCTGAAATCTTTATTAAATATGTCTGAGAATGCTTCTTGGCAATACAGTGGTTTGCAAAAGTATTCATACCCCTTGAACTTTTCCATATTTTGTCACATTACAACCACAAACATAAATATATTTCACTGGAATTTAATGTGAAAGACCAACACAAAGTGGTATACAATTGTGAAGTGGAAGCAAAATTTTACATGAATCAAAACATTTTTTACAAATAAAAAACTGAAAAGTGCGATGTGCAAAAGTATTCAGCCCCCCTGAGTCAATACTTTGTGGAGCCACCTTTTGCTGCAATTACAGCTGCAAGTCTTTTAGGGTATGTCTCCACCAGCTTTGCACATCTAGTGACTGCAATTCTTGCCCATTCCTCCTTGCAAAACAGCTCAAGCTCAGTCAGATTGGATGGAGAGCGTTTGTGAACAGCAGTTTTGAGATCTTGCCACAAATTCTCAATTGGGTTTAGGTCTGGACTTTGACTGGGCCATTCTAACACATGAATATTCTTTTTTTTAAACCACTCCATTGTAGCTTTGGCTTTATGTTTAGGGTCGTTGTCCTGCTGGAAGGTGAACCTCCGCCCCAGTCTCAAATCTTTTGCTGACTCCAACAGGTTTTCTTCCAAGATTGCCCTGTATTTGGCTCCATCCATCTTCCCATCAACTTTGACCAACTTCCCGGTCCCTGCTGAAGAGAAGCACCCCCAGAGCATGATGCTGCCACCACCATATTTGACAGTGGGGATGGTGTTTTCAGAGTGATGTGCAGTGTTCTTTCTCCGCCACACATAGCGTTTTGCATTGTGGCCAAAAAGTTCAATTTTGGTCTCGTCTGACCAAAGCACCTTCTTCCACATGTTTGCTGTGTCCTCAACATGGCTTCTGGCAAACTGCAAACGGGACTTCTTATGGTTTTCTTTTAACAATGGCTTTCTCCTTGCCACTCTTCCATAAAGACCACATTTGTGTAGTGCACGACTAATTGTTGTCCTGTGGACAGTTTCCCCCACCTGAGCTGTGGCTCTCTGCATTTCATCCAGAGTCACCATGGGCCTCTTGGCTGCCTCTCTGATCAGTGATCTCCTTGTTCGGCCTGTAAGTTTAGGTGGACGGCCTTGTCTTGGCAGGTTTACTGTGGTGCCATACTCTTTCCATTTCCGGATGATGGATTGAACAGTGCTCCGTGAGATGTTCAAAGCTTGGGAAATCTTTTTATAACCTAAGCCTGCTTTAAACTTCTCCAAAACCATATTCCTAACCTGTCTGGTGTGTTCTTTGGACTTCAYGATGCTGTTTGCTCCCCAATATTCTCTTAACCAACATCTGAGGCCGTCACGGAGCAGCTGTATTTGTACTGAGATTAGATTACACACAGGTGGACCCTTTTGAGTCATTAGCAGTCATCAGGCAACTTCTGAATGCAATTGGTTGCACTCAGGGAAAAGGGGGCTGAATACTTTTGCACGTCGCACTTTTCAGTTTTTTATTTGTAAAAAATGTTTTGATTCATGTAAAATTTTGCTTCCACTTCACAATTGTATACCACTTTGTGTTGGTCTTTCACATTAAATTCCAGTGAAATATATTTATGTTTGTGGTTGTAATGTGACAAAATATGGAAAAGTTCAAGGGGTATGAATACTTTTGCAAACCACTGTAAATCTTACACTAGGCTCCTGATTGGCAGCGCATGGAGGTACCAGAAGCTCAAAACAAGAACCACAAACCATGGTTACAACAAAGAAATAATCTACCAGACACCAATTTCTTTACATTTTGTGCGAAGTATATTTAAAGTTTGTTGAAGCATGACCGAAAAAAGAGTTTAAAGAGTATAAATACTTACAGGCACGGTAATGTCATTGCTAAGTATTCTGCTTTGGGTGATCCTTACCACTGATCAAATTTACATTAGCGCTGTCAGATTATTAAGTAATCTGGACCAAAGTGCTTATTCCTTTTTATTTGTTTTTTGATACTTTATCAAAATTTTAAATATTTGCAAAGTGCTTTAATTCAGAAGGGTTAAAGAAAATAGGGGTGCTTTTTAAGAGGTTTGTGGCAATCAGAGGGGCGCAGCTTGTGCAAACAGATTTCCTGCAGCTTTGCTAACCACCTCTAAATAATCTCATCATCTCCACACAGCCTCACATCAGACACCACTTCCACCTCAACGCAGGCAAACATTTCAGTGCTTCTTTTGACACCAGGTCCTCCCCCAGCAGCTTAGCCAATTTTCATGTTTTTGAAAACCCTGTGACGTGGAGACAACTTCCAGCACTGATTTGACACACAGACTTCCCACTCGGCGCCGAGTCTGGGTTTGTTCATTCAGAGAATCGCTGTGCGTGACTAGGAAGGAGTGTGTTGGAGCTTCGCAGCAAAGTGGGGTCAGACAGCCCCACTCTTTACCGCTCCTCTTTTTCTTTTTTCTTTTCTTTTCTTCTCCTCCCCCAACCATTTTTCATCAAAGCCTCGGTTTTATAAATGAGAGCGAAACTTGCGTGCGTGCACACGAGGAAGCAGTGAAGCCTTTAGAGAAATCTCAGTGCAGAGTCGAAGCTTTCGCCTCGTGATTTAGTCATAATGATACATACTAACAGATTCTRTGGAACGCCTTGAATTAATTTGACACAAATATTTCTACTGATTTCTGTCACTCAGCTTTAAGACTTTAATGTAATGATACAAGAGTAAAGTTAAAGTATAGCAAAGAGTTGACTGAGAAGTAATTTAATTTTTTTCATTTTTAATTTTTTAATTCAGTAGTTTATTATTTTTTTAAGTAGGTTGAAGCGCAGCGAGTCAAAACCTTTCCACTGGTTAACCGCTTGTCCCCCTCCCTCCCCCCCTTGCAGCTACTTTTAGTGTTTGATAGGGGGACGACAAAAAACCTCTGAGATTTGTCATGAGTCACTGTGGTACATGCAACGAGCATGCATGTGAACTCGTCCTGCAGTGGCAGAGTCTCTGTRACGAACAGATCACAGATCTGCAGGACACCTGTTCAAAAACAAAAAAATAAATGTTTTRATCTGTTTAGGTTAGATTTGTCATTTTATCTTGAAGAGTAAGATAGAAATCAGTAGTTTTTAGTTGTTGTTGTTGTTGTTTTTTACATCCTCTATAACCCATTTAAAAAGTTTTTATCACCTCATTTTTATTTCAGAGAACCAGAGGTCTATAAAGTACTTGAAGTAAAGTAAGTAAAGGTAAAAATACCTTAACAGAAAATGACTTCGGTAAAAATAAATTTCACTGATGAGAAAACTACTTAAGTAAAGGTACTAAAACTGTTCATAAAAATTGGGTATGTAAAAGTACTTTTACACACTCTCTAAGAAATATACTGTAGAATTTACTGAACCCCTTAACAGACTTTGTTCCCACCGGTGGGCAAAAATGGTGCGGCTTCTGCCTTTAAACATTTCCAGACTCTACCGGGGGCTTTTATTTTGTGGACTAGGTTGTCAGACCACTTCCTCCATTTCTTACCTTTAGTTTGGCACCCTTAAAAATGTCAAAAGGTTTTAAGGGGTCTGTTAAGGGGTTAACCAAACGGTTCCACTAAACCAACTGGAGAAAATATTCTTGCCTCGTAGTTACTCTACTAGGTTTAGTGAAACCAGCTGACATGACTTGGTTGAGTAAATTCAACGCTTCAGTTTTTTAGAGCATAAACAACTCCTTTCATGATGAGTTTTGACATGTTTAATTTTTTAACGAGTAACTAAATGCTAAATTTTGAAGTAAAGAAGGAAAAATATCAATTTTAGGTTTTAAATGTAACAAAATAAAAGTAAAAGTAACGATTTAAAAAAATACTTGGTAAAATTGCAAATCCTCAAAAGAATTACTTAAGTACTGTGACTAAGTAAATGTACTTAGTTACTATAAACCTCTGCAAAGAACTGGTTTAACAAATGTAAAAATAATTGTGTAACCTAAACAAATGCTTATTTAATGAGTTCCTGCTCACAAGACAATTTATTGTAGTTTTCAGCTAATGCACATAAGAGTTAGATCACAAAGAAATATCGTACATCATGCATGCAATGTATACATGTCTATCCCAGATTTAGAGACGTACTTCCATCAGATGCAGTGTTTTAAGGCTCCCTGTAGCTGCATCACATGTGCTTTGACATCATCTGCCCTTTGTTATGTTGGGTTCACACGGCAGGATGATCACGACGATATTTGCTCTTCCGACAATCTTAAGGACGCTCAGATTATCAGGATGGCTCTAAAGATAATCTGAGCAGATATTCCTGCAGTAGGTGGGGAGTTGAGAGGGATATAGTCAGTCAGGACCGCTCAGATCTCAAATCGGGGATATTCTACACGTTTGATTCTTTTTTACTCGATATCGCAGTGTGTGTGGTGTTTCCCGAGAACAAACGAGCTCGCAGCCCGCTGAATGTGACGTGTAGTCAATCAGAAAGCRGGGGGACGTAAACACGGAGCCATAAAAAGCTGTCGTGACTCACCAGAAAGTCCACTGGACCTTGTAGGAGTCATTTTGAATTGTTTTCTCTCTGATTAAACTTGTCCACAAACGATCAATGTTGCTTCTTTCTCGTCTCAAATGTTTATTTACTCAGAACTCACGTCTCTCTGGAGGTCACCAAGATTTTTCCTCGGACATCTGAATTCTCGCGTGATTTCAAGAAGTCTCGCRTGATTTCACGTCTGACATCTGAATGTTCATGAATGAAAATCTGTCGCCGTRTGGCTGGACATCACACACAAGTGAATAAAAATATTGGTAAAAAATAAGGTGTGGAAGGTTAAAGCAACTCAAAACTATAAAAACCAAAACTATTGTTAGTTTTTGTTGGTACGCCTTGTACACTTAAATATAACTTAAAGAAGTGAAAAAGCWGTCTACACGTCGGGCTCATCAAATGAAATCCTTCTCGTCTGTTCTCAGATCAGGCAGCTGCGGGGCCAGAAGGCGGCCCCCGGCTCCAGGGTGGGCTGCGGCGGAGGAAGCACCGCCTACCAGGACCTGTGCTTGACCAGCCCCGCCTCGGGCGAAGGAGACTACCTCAGCTCGGACGAGGACCTCCTCCACAGCCCGCTGCCCGCCTCCGCCCTGTACCCGGCGCTGTCGGACCCGTGTCGCGCGTCGGCGCAGCTCGACAGCGAGGGCAGCACGGACAGCGAGGCAGAGGAGCGGGGACAGACTCACCCGGACCCGCAGCAGCTGTACGGCAGCATGGTCTGTGCTGAGGCGCTGGAGAACTGAGACCTGAAGGGAGGTTTAGTGTTTTGTCTCTGCATTTCTGGGGTTTTACCGGACTAAACTGATTGTATTCATCCACCCAGTCCTCCTCAGCGTTTCCAGTGTTTTTATTTGACRCAGACACGGTGGCACTGAATGAACCTCTTCTGATGGTCTGTTTCGTCTCATCTACATGCTCCCCATGAGGTYTTATCCAGTGTTTCTTTAAGAAGAGGTGATTAATGCCCCCTCCCTTGTTTGTGTGCCAGAGATTGTCCTTTAAAATCATATCTTCCAAACATACACACGTTACATACAGAAAGACAGGACTGTATGACAACTGTTGCTACTTGCTGCTCCAGATCTATCCCCTGACCTGAGGAGAGATGGGTTGACAGACATGAAATCACTCTACAAACTGAGCATCGCTCTGATCACACTCCATGTTCTGTCTACCTTTAGAGGTTTTCCTCCTGATTGGTGCAGTTGTCTTTGCTCCATTCTACAGCACTTCGAGGGAAAGCCCGTCCATTTTCACTGCCTTCAGAGGAAAATGCCCCTCCTTCATCAGTCCACCTCTGTAGATCAAAAGAGAAGAAGAACAATCTTCAGAAGCTGAGTGCGGTGTGGTACAGAGTGGTGTCACCAGATTTCACAAATCACTTCTTTACACGTCTGTAAAACTAGTTCAGAACGCAAAACAAGGAAGAAAGTAAATGTTTTTGAGTTTTGTTTTGTTTTTATTATTTGTCTTCTAATTTATTTTAATATATATTTTTTATTTTTTATATTTAAAACTGTAGGAGTGTAGGGATACCAACAGAGGCCAAACTTTACGTCGTCCTTTGTGCCAACTACTCATCCGTCGTGGCTTTACTGTGATGCTGTCAGAGTCAGGAAATGTGCTGCTATGAGTCTGGATTTAGTCACATGTWTTTGTTTTKTTTGTTTTGTTGTGCAGGGAATGTCCTGCTTGTTAATATCCACCATAGTTAAAGCTACTTGAACAACTGCGCTTCTCTGCTGGAGCTTTGCAGCGTTCAGCGATGATGGAAACAGTTTAAGTGAGAACTGTGACTGATGTGTGAGAGAAACAAGTGGTTTTGGTGAACACTTCTGTTTATACTGAGAATAAGGCCCTGAGTACACTACACTGGATATTTACTGGAGAGAGAGATTTTGAGCTGCATTTTCACCTCCTCTTCACTCAAATAGAGATTTTAGTGAGAAAGGTTGATATTTCTTTGAAGAACATCCAGCCATGTTTATTTTCCACCATTTTATCAGCGCTGATTGGTTGGTAGAGCTGTTCCCTCTCATTGAGAAGATCGGTAACTCTAAATTGTTTTTAAGTAAGTGTTTGTATAATTGTCTCCATGTATCCCTGTGGTGGACTTGCAACCTGTCCGGGGTGTCCCCCACTTCTCGCTCAGCGACACCCCCCATGACCCAGAATAGAATAAAGGGGTAGAGATAATGACAGGCGATGATGGGTTGCATTCACTCCTTTAAGCTGTAGGTCTTTTTCTGGTTTTCCTGGGTACCTAAAACCTTTATATAGAGACTTACTTCCTGGGACTCTCATGAACAGGAAGTGAACCCACCACCCTTTGAGGAGAGTCTCCAAGGTTGGGTGGTGAAAATAATAATCCAAAACTAAAWATCCAGAGTACTGCAGACTGGACCGGAGATGATGAGAATGAACTGAAAGCTAAACATTGGACTCTGTTAGCTTAGCAGGTCCAGTTTATCGGCTGCTTTGTGTCCAGAACTGACATATCAGTAATTAAAACTGCTTAATGTTTAGCAAAGAGTTAAGATGAGGCTGAACTTCCTGATAATGTAAATTACATGAACTTTAACCCCCAATAATATCAGTGTCAAAGATTCAAACCTTACTGGCTGAACGACACATTTCAAAAAGTAAATAAATATAGTTTTATTACAACAGAAAAACTGTCTGGAATCAGCAGCTCATATCAAACATTCTGTTTTTAAAAAGCGTGACATTAATAAAGATATGACATACAGTGATGAACAGGGATGAAGGTAAATAAAAGATATTTAAAGCTCTATCGTTCATGTCTGCCTCAGGTTGGTGAGAGAAGTTTTATCAAACAGGGTGTCAGATTTATACAAATTACTCATCTTTGCTTTTTGCACAACAGACATATTCTCCACTGGAAGAGTTGTGGAATTATGYGTTTATGGTGGGATTGTTTCTCATGTTCGCCTCCGTCGACGGACTTTAAAGGAGACTTTCATTTGTTATCAGGTCTAGAGTTTTATTCTGGGAATATAGCCGTGTAACTTTGTATGATTATCTCCTAAAGAAAAGAGGAATAATTTCATGCAGACTCTTGATTTCAATTTATGTTTTGGCTAAAAAGTCAGAATTTCCTGTTTATGGTTTCTGCCGTGTTGTATGTCTGTGACCTGGAAGTGAGAGGCTGTACTCTCGATCCAACGCACAATCATGGTGTCACATGACCCGTTATGAAATCATTGACTAACTAACGACATCAAACTTTATTAGAAACAATTAAAGGTGAGAGCCATGTCAAAATAATGACCTAAGGTGTATGTTTTATTTTCAGTCAGGCCATTGTCCCAGTGGAACATGACAGGGTGGAAACTTACCGTAATGTGAGAAACACATTCGTGGTTATGATACGTTTGCTCACGTTGCACAAACGTCTCATAAAATCTGAGTTTGGATCCAAATACGCCATGAACTCTGAATTTTGCTGCACAAATGTCTTGTGATAGTTGGGCAGCAAATTTTAACCGTGCCACAGTTACTTTACGAGGCTGCACTCATCTGTCTCATGTAGGAAACCTGACATTCTCATATTTGTCTCCAAACTTTGGAACAGTTTTTAGAAACCCCCTCAACTAGTTGGATTCAGCTCAGAACTTAAAACACAAATTCTTCACACATTTCGTCACATTTGCAATGTTTCATTGAAGAATCCTGCGGCGACTCTTTGACTAAACGAGAAATAAGGACATTATTTCCTCCRGCCATCCGGGCTTTAAACAGGATGTTGGTTTCTCCACCACATCGTTGCAAAAACCACGTTTTGTGTTAACTGTTGGATGAGGCAACAGATACTCTGGAATCAGTGTTTGGATCTTCTCCTGTAAAATGAGCGACGACCCGTGGGCTTGGTTTTACAAAGTCTCCAAAACAACAGTATGCTGGAGGACAGACAGCATGAAAGTTACTACTTTGAAAGCATTTCTTGAAGTAAAAGATATGAAATCTGAAAGGACCTCAGACTGAGTTGTGCTGAGTGAAAGGTTTTGCACCGTTAATCTCAAACTTTCCCATGAAAGTAGGAAAACCTTTCATTTACATATTTCTTATTGTTCCTAAATCTTTTTGGGTAAAGAGAGTAAATCATGGCTTCCTGCAAACTCTTGACTTTGCTCATTATGTGTTTAGTTTGTTGATTTAATGTTTGTACCATGTTTCAGAACAAACTGGTGCTTTWTTAAAACTAATATGTCACATAATGTGACTGCAGATGTTTGGGTCTCGTTCTTCAAATCGAAGGAAAGTTTTGGTGAAGAATGAGGTATTTAGTTTTATTATATTAAACCAAACATTAATCTGCTCTCAGATCAGTTTGTGGCGTCCTGACGGTGCTCTCTGCTCTCACCACGGTTTATCTTCTGCGATGAACATTTTCACTTTGAGTTCTTGTTTTTATTTTAACAATCCTCATCAGTGCTTTGACTCGTCTTGCTAACAGCATTACCAGTATAAGATAAAGATCAAAGATGTGCCATAAAAGTGCAGATGTGTGCTTCGTTCTGTAACACGAAGTGAGGTTTTACATGAAATACACTGTGTTCCTAAACKTTTATCACCTTGAACCTGCAACACGAGATGAGACAGAAGTGTGTAAGGTTCCTCTGGTTTCTGTACTGTATGTGACTGTTTACTGTCCACAGCATCCGACCTGCTCCACCGTCTCCCCTGCAGTTCAGCTCATTCTGTCACACTTATTATACGACAGGAAAAAAAATAAATATATATATTTAGATTCCAGTATGATGGGGGAGGRAAATTACCTTTCAGTGTTCTGTATCCTATTATTGATGCAAAATAAACTTTGACATTGCACCTTTTCACACGACTGATTCTGTTTGTTTAAAGCAAACGAGGCGAGCTGCTGCGTTCAGGTTTTGTAACATTTCAGACTCTTATTTTGGMGATCTGACTGTTCCTGATGTGAAATGAAACATATGAGGAGAATATAGTTTAATMGTTTATTCATTTAGATTAAAAACAAAAATTTCAATACAACAAAAACAGAAACACAAATCTCATAAAATGAAAGGAAGCAGAAGATAAAAATCTTATATCCGCCCCTATTTAACAAAGAACAATAATAAAAATAAAAATATATACACATTTATACATGTACACATACATACATATGTGTATATATG